GGGAGGAATGCTGTGTCCTCAGGTGGCAGAGGAATCGAAGAGCAGGCCCTACTCTCTAGTCCTTTCATGACAGTCCTAATCCAATCCACGACGCTTCACCTTCAGGACTTAACCATCTCCTGAAAGCTCCACCTCCTAATCCTATCACATTGGTAATTAAGTTTCAACACTAGATTTGGGGGATACATTCAGATCATTGTACCCCACAGTGGGCATGTCAGTCAGTATTGCTAGTGTCCTGAGGGGACTGGAGCTGGACAGCAGGGGGAATGTTGGGCTTTGGAGCTGGGACTGGACCCAATGCTTTCCACTGCACAGCCCACACCTGCTCCCTCCCCTCAGCCACCTAAGGGGAGCTCTGGCACCTGCCCACAGCTATCCAGGGGGCCAGGGTTCTAGTTTGCTTTTTCTGCTCTAAATCGTCTGAGAGGGAAAGTAGAGGGCAGGGAGTTATCGCCAGACAGCCTGGTGCAGGTAGTGAGGACCAAGAGATGCAGGGAAGAGACCACCAGGCTGAGGAGCACATCTGCAAGGCAGGCTGTCCCTAGGGGCAGGATCACCAGGGAATCAGGCGTAGCCTACCTCACTCCTTTCTACTGGACTCAGGCCCACCTCACTCCTTTCTACTGGCCCAGATGCCACACCTGGGGCTCTTCCTCCAGGAATCTCACGCTTAGTGAAAATGCCTGGTAAAGCAAAGAGCCAGGACAACAGAAAAAACTCCTGGGGGATTCCACACAATAAAAGGCACCAACTTTCTTCTTATTGGTCTTTGAATCCAAATTACTCTCGCTGAGTTATGCTGAAATGTAGAATTTCGTGTATCCAAAGGAATTCATTACTGAAAGGATTTGTTCAAGATATAATGAAGGTAACCATCATGGGCTATGTTTTGAAGAAGATTTTCTGATATTCCAAGTGAAGATTTTTTTTTAAGTAATGTGACATACATTTCCAGTTGTAATATGGTACCTATTTTTAAAATCCCTACAAAACTCACAAGAGATGAACCACATGTATTTTTTCCCCTAAACTTAGTGCCACAATTTAAAAGACAGTTTATTTTCCTAAGGTAATTTAAGCCTTGGCTAAGCGACAGTTTCCACTGAAGCATGAAGCCATGTAGAAAATGCCTACAGAACTAACTGCTCAAAAGGACTTTCTACTGAGGATATCATAGGCCCACCCAGCTTTTCATGGAGAGGGCCTTCCAGAAACCTGATTATAGCAAACAGGCAGCTGATGTCCGAGTGCATCAAGGCCTTTGTCTCGTCTTTCAAGTCTATTAGGTCCACCTTGTCTTCTTAGTGGCTAGACTGACCCAGGCAAAGAGCCCTCCTATACCATGGCCAGGCAGACTTGCCTCTGCTTCATAATCAGGGCAAAGACACACTTCTATACCATGATCAAGCCAAGGACACGCCTCTGCACCATAGCAGGGGGCTGATGCCTTAGTGATTGGCCCAGGCAGACATGCCCCCGCAGCATAATCAGGCTGATGCTCTGGTGACTGGCCAAGGCATAATCAGGTTCATTCCCTGGTTATTGGTCTAGGTAGACACATCCCCGCAGCATAATCAGGCTGATTCCTTGGTGATTGGCCAAGGAAGACACACCCCCATGGAATAATCAGGCTGAGTCCCTGGTTATTCGCCCAGGTGGACATGCTCCTGCAGCACAATCAGGCTGATTTCCTGGTGACTGGCCCAAGCAGATACCCTCCTGCAGCCTAATCACAGCAGACAGCCCCTGCAGCATGATGGGGCTGCTTCCCCTGGTAATCTACCACTCACTTTTGCAATTTAACTTGCTAAATACCTCCTTGGGCTCAGCTGTCGCTTTGAAAGCATGTGAAAAAGAATAATGATGAATTAACAAGCCCTCCCTACAGACAGCTTCCTTTTCTATAGAGCTCAAGGTGACTTCCACAACCTAACGTACCCTAATAGAAAATACTTTCAGAAAGAAAAAAAAGTCAAGGGTTATATTTTCATCTACAGCTTAAGAACAGAAATAAAGTACTAAGTGAGCAAAATGAACACCTACAAGAAGGAAGACTACAGCAGCAAGTTTCTCTGAATCTAGTCAACAGAGCAATGACACTATAAGGCCACCTTCCCAGGGTAATTTAGGTTGGGTGAAGATAAAAGAGGAGATGGAAGGAGTGCAAAATGAATGGAAACTAGGTCTCCAAGCCTGTTCTTTCAGGACAGAAGATCTATTTTATTTTCATTTTTGTGACTGGCATAATATTGAGCAGAAACCCTAAGGAAGAGCCCATTTCTGGATCAGAATTAGGCTCGGCCTGTCCTTCTGCTCTATACATCCAGTCCAACATTGTCCTCCTCTGGTCTGCCTTCCCTTCAGGTTAAGTATTATTTCTAATCATTTTGTCTTATCCTGCCTAACTTGTTTCAGAATATCAAAGCGGCACATCAACCAACCGCTGTCCCTGCACATCATATGAGCCAGCATCCCAGCATGATTTTAAGTTTCTCATTTACAGGATTACCTTGTGCATTTTTTTATACTCTTCAAGTCTTCTGCATGCTCTGCTCTGTCAAAGTACAGTTAATTGTGTATATGGTATGTAGTAGATATGATCATTTTCAAAGACAGACTTTCAGTATCAAAGTTCCTACTCCCAATTGTGCAGCTAGTAAAAGTTAAAGTAAGTATATGCATGTACACACATGCACACACAAATCATATGCTAAAAAACAGGATTTGTCAAGTCAAAAAAAAAAAAAGAAGTCAAAAAGTAGTAAAGAAAGAAAAGAAAGCCATTTAGATAAGTTCTGTAGAACTGAACTCTCTTTGAAGTACTAGCTCCTGGCTAGTTGTTCACCTTCTATGAGTTTCTATGATTAGCAACTTACTTAATCTGACACCTCCTCGCTTAGAAGGCCAAATGAAGACACTACATTGATGGGATCACCAAGAAGAGTCCATAAAACAGAGTCACTAGCACTCCAGCCAAACTACCAGACTAGCTAGATAAAACATTTTTTTTTTTTTTTTAAGAATTGCAGTAGAACATATTTCAAGTATATCTTAGGATATAGAACAAAAAGTATAGAAGGAAAACCATGTGAAAGGCTTGGGGGCATATGGAAGAAATAGGACACATGTGTGCCTCATACATCATGAGTGCTTTGTATATTAAGTCAGAAGAGGTGCTTGGTCACAGAGTAACTTTACATACAAACCTTAGCTATATTAGCAAAAAAAAAAAAAAAAAACCAACACTCGTATGACTAAAATCAGAAATGCAAGAGGCAACATTATAACCAGTGCCACAAAAAAAAATTAAAGAATACCATTTGTTGGATTATCCTTTGACAATAAATTGGATAACCTAAAAGAAATGAAAGAATTCCTAGAAACACACACCCTACCAAAACCGAATCATGAAGACAGAGATTCCCTGATGATTTTGAGAAGGGGAGAAAATAAAGACAAAGAAAATCTTAACACACCTGTAAGTAGTAAGGAGACTCAATCAGTAATAAAAGAAAACCTCTCCACAAAGGAAAGCCCAGGACCAGATGGCTTCACTGGAGAATTCTACCAAACATTTAAAACACTACTGAACTGTACACTTAAAAATAGGTAAGATGGAGGCCGGGCGCGGTGGCTCAAGCCTGTAATCCCAGCACTTTGGGAGGCCGAGGCGGGTGGATCATGAGGTCAAGAGATCGAGACCATCCTGGTCAACATGGTGAAACCCCGTCTCTACTAAAAATACAAAAAATTAGCTGGGCATGGTGGTGCGTGCCTGTAATCCCAGCTACTCAGGAGGCTGAGGCAGGAGAATTGCCTGAACCCAGGAGGCGGAGGTTGCGGTGAGCCGAGATCGCGCCATTGCACTCCAGCCTGGGTAACTTGAGTGAAACTCCATCTCAAAAAAAAAAAAAAAATAGGTAAGATGGTAAATTTTAGTGTGTGTGTCTGTGTGTATGTGCTTCCTACCACAATTGAATTTTTATATAGTAACTGTATAGATGTGTTCACCAAGACTTGTCAGGGTAACTTCATGTGCAAATGGTACAGACACTAGATGCAGAAAACTGAATATCACGGTGCTTGTACCCATGCCTGAGATTCACAAACACTACCATTTGCAGTGAATGCAGACAGAGTGATTACAAAGGGTGTGTGTTTGCATGTGTGTGTGTGCTTCCCAGGAATAGTATATCCATATGTTTGGACATATGTATAAATAACATACATTTCAAAAGTATGTATGCTTCATATTAATATCATTTTAAATCCAAGATTACTCACAGAACTGCTGTTTTTTTTTCTCGCCTAGCACCAGAAATTCTAAAGACAGAGTATTCCTCCTGTTATCCCAGAAGAATCTTTAAATAGTCTATTTTCAAGGTCTGTAATCTAGAACATTCTTGAACAAGGAGCAGTGGGCAAGCCTGTTCTGACTGAATGTCAGTTAACAAGCCTGGAGGGAACAAAGCTGTCTTTCCATTCAGAAGAAAACTGGACACAAATAAAGAAAGGGCTAAATGGCATACAAACACACAGGCTAAAAATGAATTAGGCTTTTTACTTGTTTTTTAAATTAAGTGTCTTTGGGGAGATTTAGCTCCTTATCAATTTGTTTAAATTTGAATAGTTGCTGAAATATTAATCCTATACCTGATTTTGAAAAGAAAAAGGCAAAACTATTAAGTTAAACTTTGAAGCCATTCTGTCACTAACATAATCTTTATAGATAGTAATATAAACAATACTCAAATGTTTTTGGAACCCAGAAATCACTGAAACTAATGCATATTATTTTAAGAAGCTTTTAAAGAGAAATTTGAATCACAGCATCCCACAGCATCAGCCAAACTCAGGAGCATGAAGGAGGGACTTAGTTTCAAGACTAAAGAAAAGAGGACAAACTCAGCATGCCCTACGCTAGACTATATAGGTGATTTACAAAACCACTGCTAATATTCACAAACTTAATCCTTCAAACAGCGAGGCAACCGCACCTGGCATGAGCGCAGCCATGGGGAACACTTCCTTTAACTTCGTTTGGCTTTCTTCCACCAGCTCCTCTTTGGACATCGGGAGCTGCAAGACGTCTATTATAATCTGTGCCGCCTCTAATGCCTTCTTACCCATAACCAGGGACTTTACATCCCAGCTGTATTTCTTGTCATAGCGATCACATATTTCTTGAAACACCACTGAATAGAGCCGTTCAGTATCTGCAGAAAAAAAAAAAAAAAGACAGAGATTTTTAGAGTGCATACTGTATCAACAGTAAGTCTGTATCAGGTTCACAATAACATCCACTGTGTAGGTTGCATTCCATGAACAAAGGCTTTGTGGAGACCTAAGTGCGCAGGGGAAAGGTTTGCAGGTCATTCTCACTAAATTATACTATGGGCAGCCTCCTCTCAAGGCTGCTGGAGTTATGTCTGGAGTCGTGATCTGTATGGAAATTTAGAACTCAGGAGAGAAATGAAATCTGTATTATTGTGTTTTCTGTTTAAATGTGCATATTTGAATTTAAATATATACTTAGAATGGTCAATTCCAGCCGATAGCACAAGGCATCATTACTTGGTGTTCCACTGCATGGCACACTAGAATTAAGGACATTTCCACTGCCCAGTGGGATGAGCCCCCACCATGCCTGGCCAGGATGCTGCTTTGAAGCTCCCAGGGAAGAACAGAACATTTAACACACAGGCTGTGTCACGGGATGGTGAAAGTTGACCTGAGGATTAACTCCCAGCTTGGCACTTACTCGGGGCACAGCCTAAGAAATATAGCGGCCCTGCAGGGGCCTGCTTTCCTCATGCTGACACAAGGTGAACAGGAACACTGTTCATAATAGTACCAGTACCACTAACATAGGCTACATGGCACTACATTTCTATTCATGTGCTTTTTCTGTATATATATTTAATATACACATAGTATTAATAGCACTCATATTACCAATACGAATACTACTGATGGCGCTACTCCAGTGAAATAATCCTACTTTGCAGACTGAATACTTCAGGGCACACAAGTAACCTTCTCAAAACAGTGCCAGCCTCCTAGGGCGTGCTTGTGACACACTAGCTGTCTTCTCTACTCTCACTGTCTCCAGCATGGGCGTAGAAAGATCACTTTACTGAAGAACCAACTAACTGACCTGCTAGGAAGCATTATACATGATAAAAAGAAATACTCCAACACTAAGGAGTGTCTACCAAGTACAATTTCAAAACCAGGTAAGCTCCATGGAGCTGAGAGTTGCCTGGTGACAATCCTCCCAAGTCCCCAGTGAAGGCAGAAGACTGTGTGCCAAAGCCTGGGCAGAGGCCTTGTCTTCCAGTCTGCGGTGGCACAGAGGCAGTCCCTGAACCTGAGAGGCTGGGAATAAACCTGTCCATACCTGGTTTAAAAAGAAGACACAGACCCGTCTGACAAAAATCTGGATTCAAATTCCGCTAGGAGACTGACCACCTGTTGTAGATTTAGCACTGAATCTTTCCCATGGGACATGGAGCAGCAGTAGCAGGATGTATTCTACCCTGAATTTGCACAACTAGATTCAACAGTTAAGTCCTGAAAAGAGCTGGCGACCACAATGACCTTTAACTGTCCCACAATGACATGAAAAACATAATAATCATCCCTACTTTTTCCCCCTATAAGATAGTATCTGTGATACCCAGGACACACTGAAGCAATGCACACACACAAAGAAGGCTGTGTGCATCCAAGAGGCATGTAAGTCTTCATACTCCTATGTGTGTTCACATGTTTACATGCAGATAGGCATGCATGCTTGTCTGTAATTGCTTAGATGCATTTTGAAAGTTGGCAGGGTATGAACTGCTATTAAAAGAGAGTTATGGGCTGGGTGCGATGGCTCATGCCTGTAATTCCAGCATTTTGGGAGACCAAGGCAGGCGGATTGCATGAGCTCAGTAGTTCAAGACCAGCCTGGGCAACATGGCAAAACCCCGTCTGTACTAAAAATACAAAAAACTACCCAGGCATGGTGGCACGTGCCTGTAATCCCAGCTATTCCGGAGGCTAAGGCAGGAGAATCGCTTGACCTGAGAGGCAGAGGTGGCAGTGGGCCAAGATTACATCACTGCACTCCAGCCTGGGAAACATGAGTGAGATTATGTCTTCAAAAAAAGAGTTATGGCAGATTTTAACTCCAAAATATGTGGTCCTCCCAGACAGGCATGTGGAGGACCACCTGCACCACAGGACAGGATTCGCTGTGTTGCACATGGAGAAGGCCGCGACGGTACCGTTGCCGTGGCAACGGTAGGGCCACCTGTGCTTTGTCTCCTGATTCTTTCTCACAGAACGTCAATGGTCATCTGCATAGACACAGGGTCTGGGCAATCAACCATATCCACCAACTATTTGCAAAATTCCTGAATGAACCAAGGGTAGAGTGCTGCTATCTTGAGAAAAGAAGTTTTCTGTGTGGCCTTGTACACGGGTCCCTTCAGCAGTATCCAAACTGCAACTCTTGGCTGCACCTACAGTATCAGCTAGGACTCTTGCCGCCTTGTACTCAGAGGACTGGGCTTGTTGGTTGCTTTGGCTGCCATGCTGTGGACTTTGCCTCTGTGCACGCTTCTCTGCTGGTCCCAGGGCTCGCTGCACTTGCCTGCAGAAGTCTCTGGCTCTTCCTCCTTGGGATGGGTCTGTGGCTGGGCCCAGCCCGCCCTGTGGACACTGGGGTCCAGGTGAGGCTGGTTGCTGTGGAGTAGGCTCTTCCTTGGGCTTTTGGGTGGCCCCTGCCCTGCACTCCCCATCTGCCTTGCTCCCTCTGTGCACTGACCCCTCTGTGGCCCTCTTTCCTACAGCAGACCCTGGGCTTTCTGCCTCTTGATGGATGCTCTGGCTTTGACTGCTACCAGCAACAAGAAGAGCCCTTCTCTATTCTTTCTCTGCTTTTCTAGGCAAATCCACCCATGGCTGCATGTCAGGCGCCATTTCATTTTCAGCACTATAATATTTTTCCCTTGCTTTTCTACCATGAGCTGTATTTTATTTTTTTTTTTAGTAGACATGGAAGGACTTGCCTTATGGCCCAGGCTGGTCTCAAACCTGTGGCCTCAAGTGATCCTCCAGTCTCGGTCTCCCAGTGTTGGGAATAAGGTATGAACCACTGCGCCTGGACATGAGCTGTATCTCATTAAGTTTGCTGTACAACACACCAAACAAACCTCAGAACCTCCAACCGGTCTGGATACTGGAGATTGCAAAAGCACGATCCCTGAGTGGAGGGGTCAAATCCCTTTGGGGTAGTACAAAAGATAGGACTCTCACAAAAATTCCTGGGCTGGTTTGTAGAAGTAGAAGTTCAAGTGAAAACCTGAGTAACTCAAGGCTTCCTGGATCCCATCCTGCACTATGTCTCCCTACAGAAGCTGTAGAACAGAAGGAAGGGCTGGCCCACCCTCCTCCTCAGCAGCTGAGTGGTGAAAATCCTCCTCTAAAGGAGGGTTACCCACGCATGAGTGCTCCATTTATTTTCTTCTTCCCTCTGAGGGGGAGAAAGTGCCAGGGCTCTCAGGGCAAGGAGATGGACAGATTGGCAGTGAGGCGGCACGTTCTACTTCCTTGAGTGTTTGTTCCAGTAGTTGAGAGAGGAAAACTGACAAAAGGAAACTGCAGGCATCAAACAAATGAGACACCGCTATCGGGTTGAAAAGCCAAGTGAAGGAACAGAGGCCAGGCAGGACCATGGAGGTGCTCCACAGAACTGGAGCTAAGGCAAGTGTAAGAAGAGGAAGAAAGGAGTGTGGACAAAAGCAGAAAAACAGCTGTATCCTCTAAAAATGCTTTCAACAATGTTTATTTAAAGCTTAAAATGTCATGGAGCTTTTAATTTAAAAGATACAGAACTGTGGGATTATAAATCTGTAGGGGACTGTGCAGACAGACACTTTTCTTCACCATTTAGATAAAATCATCCTAAATCCGTGGAATAAGCAAGGATCTAAACAAGCAATTAAACTCCTCAGGTCAAATGACGACTACAGCCGTTGATGATAGCACACTTAAAGGGACAGCACTGTGAAATGAAAAACGCTGAAATAAAGGAGCGTAAAACAGTTGCACCAGGCCATCAGATGCATCTTCTTCCCCGCTTACTAACAAGATTCCAGCTTTTAACATTGCTTCAATGTCCTTTCTACCAGGAAAGGTCATACTGTTTTTAACATGCTAGAGCCCCACACATGACTACCTTCCTTAGGTGAGTTAGAAAATATCCCTTGTGACTGTGACCACTCCCCTCCCCCTAGCTGGAATCTGTGTGGCAGTTGAGAACAGCTTCCATAGCAGCTCCAAGGACAGCATGGGGAGAGGAGCAGCCTGGCCACAAGGGAGAAGCTCTGAAGAAGCTACAGGGTACTCCAGGCTGGGGCACAAAAGCTGGTGTGTGTTTTCATCCTCAGAGGCAGCCTGAGTTCCTGGGATGCATGGGAGGCACTGCGCCTTAAGTTAATTCAACTGTTATGGAAGCGCTGCGCCTGGAGGAAGCCTAGACCAATGGCTTAGTTTCTAAGACGGAAGTTGAGTAATTGCAACAAATCAAGTAACATCTTTTATAATTAAAAGTGTAACTTAAATGCTTGCTAAGTCCACCCGAGGCACAGTGGTCGATGTTTTACCCAACAAAGATATAAAAAGTGAGGGTTTCTCCCCCACTGCTCTCTCAGTGAAGCTGTACCTGCTTGCCATGCAAATGGGGGACCTATCTTCAATTTTATAAACCTGAGTTGCATTATTTAAGGGCAAAACACCTCAAGGTAGCTGATGGATCGCAGACCTAGGAAGAGATTATGGTGATATGATTTGGCTGTGTCCCCAGCTAAATCTCATCTCGAGCTGTAATTCCCAAGCATAGAGGAAGGGAAGTGATTGGATCATTGCGGTGGTTTCCCCCATGCTGTTCTCCTGATAAGAGTTCTCACGAGATCTGATGGTTTTATGTGTTTGTTTGCAAGTTCCTCCTTCGCCCCTCTTTCTCCTGCTGCCTTGCAAGAAAGGTGCCTGCTTCCCCATCTGCCATGATTGTAAGTTTCCTGAGGCCTCCCCAGCCATGTGGAACTGTGAGTCAATTAAACCTCTTTCCTCTATAGAGTACCCAGTCTCAGGGAAGTTCTTTATGAAAGCAGTGTGAGAACGGACTAACATTAATGCATATGGGAAGACCTGATTTTGCTCCCAC